GAAGCATGGTGACTCCCTGACTCTATTTTCTTTCTCCCCGAATTCTGTTCTGTCTACTCTACCCACCTAAAGGCTGGCCTATCAAAAGGCCAAGGCAGTTTCTTTATTAACCAATGAAAGTAACACATAGACAGATGACCCTCCTACACCACTTATCCTTTTATTTTTTTTGGTTTTTCGAGACAGGGTTTCTCTGTAGCTTTGGTGCCCATCCTGGAACTAGTTCCTGTAGACCAGGCTGGCCTCGAACTCCCAGAGATCCGCCTGCCTCTGCCTCCCAAGTGCTGGGATTAAAGGCGTGCGCCACCACCGCCCAGCATACCACTTATCCTTTTTAATAAAAAAAAAAAAATTGTGTAACTGCATGTATATTTTTTATGTGATACAGATTATTTTTAGAAACATTATATCAGATACATGAGAATAGAATTTCATCAGACAGATGTCCCCAGTGTGAGTCTGTGGTTGGTCATGCTAGACATGGCTTGGCATTAGTTTTGATATAAATCTTTATTTAGGTTATGAGTTTATGGCATTTTGAGCCGCAGGCAAGCAGTCGATAGTGTATGTGTATATATATATATATTTGTAATCTATGTAGAAGAACTTTTTTTCCCCATATTTTTAACTCCTTTTTAAACTTTCCCCAAAACCAATCTCAAGACATTATAGGCATCATCTCTCTCTCAAATCACAAAACAAAACAAAACAAAACATACAGTTCTGAAAGCTGCTGGGAAACTGGAGAGATGGTTGGGCAGCTAATTGCTCTTGAAGAGGACCCAAGTTCAGTTTCCATCTAATTTGTGAGTTTGAGGCCAGCCTGGTCTAAAGAGTGAGTTCCAGGACAGACAGAGATACACAGAGAAACCCTGTCTCGGGGGTGGGGAGAGAACAGGAAAGTTAGCCCTTCACCAAATCATTAGAGAACTCAACACAACATAGATTTTGCTGAAATCAAATTACCAATATTGAAAGACTAGAAAGACTCTATAGAGGATGCATATCAAAAGATGAAGGAATTATAAAACTAATAAATATAAAAGATGTTAAGTATCTTACAATGCTTTTAAGTTTTATATATTTTAATGTTTTGTATATATGAGTGATTTGCTTGCTTGTATGTCTGTGTATACCACGGGTACCTGGTGACCGTGGAAACCTGAAGAGGGTATGGAATCCCCTGGGACTGGAGTTACAGGTAGTTGTAAACTGCCATTCCATGTGGGGGCTGAAATCAAATCTGGGTCCTCTGCTGATGGAGGAAGGTCATTGGTTAATTAATAAAGAAACTGCTTGACCTGATAGGTTAGAACATAGGTGGGTGGAGTAAACAGAACAGAATGCTGGGAGGAAGAGGAAGTGAGCTAAGACACCATGCCGCTCCTCTCCAGGGCAGATGCAGTGAAGCTCCAACCCAGGATGGACGTAGGCTAGAATCTTCCTGGTAAGCACACCTCGTGGTGCTACACACATTAATAGAAATGGGCCAAGCAGTGTTTATATGAATACAGTTTCTGTGTTGTTATTTCGGGTATAAAGCTAGCCGGTGGCCAGGAGCTGGGCAGCGGAACACAGCCCGCAGCTCCCCACTACACTCTGCAAAAGCATGTACCCTTAACTGCTGAGCCAATGCTAAATGCTAACTTTAAAAGCTCCACTACCCCACAAGTATTAGATAAAAGATTATAAGCATTCTTTTCCAAATAAATGAACAGTTGGAGAATATTCCAGTCTAACTGCGGTCAAGGGAAGATTCTCCAACACACTATCGGAGGTTATTTCAAAATCTACTTCATGCCAGGGGGCACGAGCCTTTAATCCCAGCAGTCTGGAGACAAAGGCAGGTAAATCTCTGTGCATTTAAGGCTAGTCTGGTCTTCTATACATAGCCAGTTCCGGGGCAGCCAGGGTGTCTTAAAATACAGTCCAGTGGTGGTGCATGCCTTTAATCCTAGAACTTGAGAGGCAGAGGGAGGTGGATCTCAGTGAGTTCGAGAACAGCCTGGTATACAAAGTTAGTTCCAGGGCAGCCAGGACTACAGAGAAACCCTTTCTCAAGAAAACCAAAATAGTAATAGGAAGTCCTGACTACTAACTAGGTTCCCATCAATTTGACACAAGCTAGAGTCCTCTACGAGGAAACCTCAACTGAGGAAAGCCTCTATAAGATCCAGCTGTAGGGAATTAGTGATTGATGTGGGAGGGCCAGGCCCACTGTGGTGGCCAGGTGGTCCTGGGTTCTATAAAAAGATGGGCTGGGCAAGTCATAGCAAGCAAGCCAGTAAGCAGCCCCCCTCCATGGCATCAGCTCCTGCCTCCCTCCAAGATGCTGCCCTACTTGAGTTCCTGTCCTGCCTTCCTTTGATGACGAAGCTCCCCAAGCTGCTTTGGTCATGGTGTTTCATACAGTGATAGCAACCCTGACTAATAATCAACAATGAGGAGAGTGAAGGCAGAACCCCCTCCACCAATAATGGGGTCTGGATAACAACTGCCTACAATTTATGCCGGCAAACAAAACCATGTTAGCTGCTGGCTTTTTTACTGCCCCTGCTTCTATTGTGGTTGAAATGATCTTTTTTAGTAAAACATATAACTGAGATCAAAAATAATCTTTCCTAGCTTCCCTCAGAACCAGGTGTGGGGTTCTGAATCAATCCAGGCCAAGAGAATGTGAGAAAAAGCCATGAATACCATTTCCAAAATAAACGGCACATTGACGGGCTGGAAAGACCGTGAGCCCCCTTGCATCTGAAGATGGACACAAGCTCAAAGGTGGTGGGGCCGCAAGACAGGAGCCAGGTCCTGCCACAGGAGTGCAGTCTGCCCCACTGGGCGGTGCTGGCACCCTAGACTACCATCATCATCAAATAGGAGCCAGGTCCTGCCACAGGAGTGCAGTCTGCCCCACCGGGCGGTGCTGGCACCCTAGACTACCATCATCATCAAATAGGAGCCAGGTCCTGCCACAGGAGTGCAGTCTGCCCCACCGGGCGGCGCTGGCACTATCATCATGGAACTGAAGCCCTAATCTTAGCACTGCACCACCACACTAATCTTAGCACTGCACCACCACACCGCCACTGTTGAAGGCGCCCCTACTCACGGCTGCACTGTTATTTTCAGTCACAGCTAAATCTTCACCCGAATAAATCTGGACGCCCAGGCTGAGAGGAAAGCTTGAAAGCTTCTCTGGGGATGGGCGTGGTGGTACGTGCCTTTAGTCACTCTCAGGAGTACAGGTGGGCAACTCGGGGCGGGTGACTTCCAGGAAATCAGGGAAGATATATACAATTCATACAAAATCCAGCTAAATACAAATTTACCATCTATACTCGTGAAATGCATGAAGAAAAAGCCAACAGGACAACCATGTACACACATATGCACACACACACACACACACACACACACACACACGCGAACACACACGTACAGAGATTCAACAGGAAACAGTGTACGGCCTAAGATCCAAGACCCAAGGGAAGGCTACAGGCACCACTGCGGGGAGAGCGCATCACACAGAGCATCTACAATGCACTTCCCCAGCACCAAACACACACTTTAAGGGAGACTAAATAGTAAGACATTTAGGGCAACAGTAAGAAAGCAGCTACTACTGGAGATGGTAGGAAGCTAAACCGAATTGAAACACTAACTGCTGGACTACACACGTCACTGGCAAGGGCAGGGACAGTCCACCCTGTTCCAGTGGAAGTCCAGAAATGAGGAGGAACAGTGTTCAACACATGACAGCTGTGTGGCTTAGTTTCTCACCTTGACACAAGCGTGCGTCATCTGTGGGAACCGTGATGAGAAAAGGCCCCTCAGGATTGGCCTGTAGGTGAGCCTGGTTTAGTCTGGAGCACCCACATCGGATAAGGCACAGCCACCTACTTCTAACTTCATTTCTAGGGGATGGAAAGCCCTCTTCTGGCCTCCTCAAGCACCTGCACGCACATGTCACATAAAATTCAGACACATATGTACACCTAAATTAAGTAAATACATGAATTTTTAAAGTAAGATTTGTACACCCCCCCCCAAAAAAGGTGGGTATTGGTGGAACACACCTTTAATCCGAGCCCTCAGGTGGCAGAGGCAGGTGGATCTCTGTAAATTCAAGGCCAGCCTGGTCTACAAGAGCTAGTTCCAGGACAGGCACCAAAGCTACAGAGAAACCCTATCTCAAAAAATCAAAATAATAATAATAATTGTACAAACTGTCCTCTAATTTCTACATGCATACTATGGCATGCTTTTTGTGCGCGTGTGTGCGTGTGCGTGTGTGTGTGTGTGTGTGTGAGAGAGAGAGAGAGAGAGAGAGAGAGAGAGAGAGAAATAAACCTCTGGGTGTACAGAAATAACATCTGGAACAAAACCTAACATCAGTAAGACAAATCACAGCACAGTATACTTAAGGCAACTAAGGGAGAACTACAAACCTGGGACCATGCACCTAAAGGAACCTTAAATGTCAGGAATGAAAAGCAGATTTTCAAGCAAATAAGAAAGCCTGACTAGCAGGCTCTAAGAAACAAACCGATGGGTCTGTAACACCAGCTCCCAGCCTCAAAGTCAGAAATCCCAATCAACGCAAAAGTGAGTAAGACCGGGGCTGCGTACACCGGTAACCCACACTGTGGGCTAAAGCAGCAGCCTCAAATCAGCCTGAGCTGCCTTGTGGGACTGTTCCAGGGAGACAACGGGCAAGGAAGAACCAACAATTTGATGCAAATTCAAAGATTAGGGAAAGCACAAAATATGTCAATAGGCCAAAATGCTACCGAAGGGGCGCGGTGGGGCTACAGTCCCATCTCAGTGGTGGGGTTTGTCTAGTGTGTATTTGTTTACACAGGACCCTGGACGCAGCAGCCAGCACTGGCAAACAAAAGAGCATGCTAACTCCAGAAACAATATCTAGGCAGAAGCTTTGTAACTTAAACCCTGAAGACTCACAAAGGCGGGGAAATCCTTTGGGTTTTGTTTCCAAGCTTATAAATATGTAACGCTTCATGAATTTGCACACCGTCCTTGCACAGGGGCCACTCTAATCTTCTCTGTATCGTTCCAATTTTAGCATATGTGTTGTGAAAGTGACCATATAGGGGAAATTCTTTATCATGCCATAGACCAAGCTACTATCTTTTCTACTAGACAACATCAAATCCAAGACAAAAATTATCACTCAAGATGCCATACCTAAATAATGATGAAAGTTCAACTGGTAAGAAACTCACATTAGCCGGGCCGTGGTGATCCACACCTTTAATCCCAGCACTTGGGAGGCAGAGGGAGGCAGATCTCTGTGAGTTCGAGGCCAGCCTGGTCTACAAGAGCTAGCTCCAGGACAGGCTCCAATCTTGAAACCCCCCCCCCCCAAAAAAAAGGAAAGAAAAAGAAAAAGAAACCCACATTACTTTCCCCAAAGCTAGAAAACAAGCTCGATCTCGAGTGGGTGAAGAACGTTTGAAAACGGGTACAGATCAAGCAGATCAACATTCTTCTAAATAAATGATAATGGAAATAAACCAAATCGAGTAAATCATTCCTTCTTAAACCTGTGGAATGCATTCATTTAAAAAGAAACATTGAAGGGAAGTAAAATGTTAAACACTTAATAAACCTCCAGACACGCCATGCCCGCTCCCCCACCACACAAATAAAAGGGGACTGGCTAAGAGTACTCGCTGTCTTCCAGAGTTTCCAGTAACCACAGCAGGTGGCTCACAACCACCTGTAACTCTAGCTCCAAGGGATCCATGTCCTCTTCTGACTTTCCTGGACACCTGCACACAATACACTCAAAGTAAAAACAACAAGAGGGTGCAAAATTGGTAATGTTTGAAAATAATGAAAGAGAAAGACAACTCAGAAGAATTTTTTTTTTTAAGTCTTAAGTTCTCCAAACAGCTGAACTCCAGGGAGAGGGAAATGCTGGGGGAGACATGAACATTTAATCAGAGAAGATATCTTCAACAAGTACAGCAGCATCTTTAAAAATAATCTCTGGGGGGGGGGGGTGCTGGAGAGATGGCTCAGTGGTTAAGAGCATTGCCTGCTCTTCCAAAGGTCCTGAGTTCAATTCCCGGCAACCACATGGTGGCTCACAACCATCTGTAAAGAGGTCTGGTGCCCTCTTCTGGCCTGCAGGCATACACACAGACAGAATATTGTATACATAATAAATAAATAAAATAAATATTTAAAAATAAAAATAATCTCTGGGGTCGGGAAGATAGCTCAGAAATCAAGGTGCTTGTTGCTGAGCCTGACACCCTGAGTTTGAGTTGCAGGACACATATGAAAACTAATTCCTTCAAATTGTCCTCTGATCTCTACACCTGCACGCACACACAATATATAGAATGTATAATTAGCTAAATAATAAGGTCAAGCCAGTAAACATTCCAGCACGGATACAAGGGGTGCATGAAGCTCCCCAATAAATGAAGCACTACCGACAATCACAGCTACTCAGAGGAAAGGGAAAGCCATTTGTCTTCTGGTGTGGCCTTTGGTAGGTCGCCACTGGATGGCGCCACACTCGCGAGCATGCAGGCAGGACTAACTAGATAGCAGAAGACATGGGGTGGAGAGCCAGGGCAAGTGGAAAGACTTGGATTAGATTATGTTTAAGATAAATAGTATACATGGTCAAAACTGTCAAAAAAAAAATCTTAAGAATTGATATAATTCACTAAAATACCAATAAAGGAAAAGTGTTTAGTTCTGTGAAAAATCAATGCCTTCTTGAAATCTTGGCTTAGGATAATTTTGATCTACATTTATTTCAAAAGTAGGGAAAAAAAGAGGACTTATGGAAAGCAGCCACAGAAACACTTAGAAAGCTGGCGGGGAGGAGCACACAGCACACTGAGTAAATGAAGGCTCCTTCATCGCATGAACTCCTGGGAGCACAGCAGGAAAACGGTGAAGCTTTCAAAGACTAGATAGGGAAGTTGAAGAGTCCCGAGAGGATTTCTCAAAGTGGTAATTTAATGTAATTTAAATGCCTAAAATCATCACAAATATCTGTGTTAACGGTGAAGGCTTGAATTTGCCTTATAACCTGGGATAAGGTTAGAGGCATTGGACATGGACACAGTAAGTTCCCGAGTGCAAACGGTGACCGGGCACAGCAGTCCTCCGCCCGTCTGGAGGAAGCCAACACTGTAAGCAACTGTGCTTAGCTCAGGCAATCATCACCATTACTCCACACAACCGCTGCTTCAAACAGCCCCATCATGGTGCGTAGCAGGGCTCGGGACGCTGGCTCACCAAAAAAGGAAACTGGCTTTGATTAAATTAAAATCACAGAGTTCAAGAATCCAGGGTCTCACTGGATCTAGCAATTCTAATTAAAATCTATCCTATCTTAGCCTTTTAAAACTATAATTGCTACTTTACTCTTTCTAGAATATGCCCTCACACCTGCATACACACATAAATACAAATAACAAACATAACCTAATACGACCAAAGTAAATCAACATCATAGAGCAAATTATTAACTCAAATAAGTCTACAAGTACTAAGAACCATAGACTAACAATTTAGCCAACCAAATTATTACCTGCATTACCTGAATATCAATAATTTGAGTACAAATTTCTTGCATGGTCAATTAACTGGAAATTTAGCTTAGGTCTTTGGGGGCGGGGGTTCTGTAGCTTTGGAGCCTATTCTGGAACTCATTCTGTAGATCAGGCTGGCCTTGAACTCACAGAGATCCACCTGCCTCTGCCTCCCCAGGGCTGGGATTAAAGACGTGAGCCAGCACTGCCCAGGTTTTTTTATTTTGTGAGGTTTTTGTTTTTAAGCTTAGAAAATTTTCAAGATGGACAGTGCGTTGCATGCCTGTACTCCCAGCACTTAAAATGGAAGGCCAGGAGAACTGCCTTGAGTTGGAGACCAGCCTTGGCCAGAGGGAACATAAGATTCTATCTCCAAACACCCAAAGAAGGGCTGGAGAGATGATCAGTGATTAAGAGCACCTGACACTCTTGCAGAGGATCCAGGCTCGGTTCCCAGCAACTCACAATCATCCACCTCTAGTCCAGGCAATCAGATGGTCTCTCTGGCTTCTGTGGGGGCCAGAACATATAGTGTAGACATGCATGCTGGCAAACACACACACACATAAGAAGCCTAAAAAAAAAAACCACTTATGCACATTTTAAGCACAAATCAACCTCACCTCCCAAAAACAACTTCTCTACAGGAAAAACAGAAACGTTTTCGTTTACCCCTAACTTCTACTTTTTGAGACAATCTTACATTATAGTCCACACTGCGCCTAAACTCAAACACCATGGCCAACTTCTCCAGCAACTAAAATCCCTTCTATCTTAGAATTTAAATACAATTCACTGAACATTCGGGGTCACTTCTTTCAGTGGTGCACCCTTTAATCCTGCACTCTGAGCCGAGGCAGGGGACACTGAGTCACCCCCGTGCCTGCCCACACACACCCGACTCCTGCACCAGTACACACACACACACACACACACACGCAACAACCACTGCCGCAGCCTTTCTCTTCACTGAAGTGATTACTGGACTGGGCTGGATGGAGCACAGGGATAAGACACTTGCCCGCCACATTCAAGGCCTTGGGTTTGAGCCCCAGGACCGCCTATCGAATCCATTTCTTCCTTGTCTAACATTTAAATTTACATCGACTGGCTTCCAAAGGTGCCACACTTAAAAGCAAAAAAAAAAAAAAAAAAAAAAAAAACCCTCAAGAGAAATTAGACATTTTTTTCTCATTTGCTCTTTTTAGCTTTGTTTATGCTTATTTTCTTTTCCAAAAATATTTTGCTGTGGGATTAAATGTAAACTGCATACCTGATCCATATCCAAAGTTGTTTCTATCATTTCTTGAAATTTTGAAAAATCAGAGCGAAGATCAGTAAGAGGAGTCATAAAAACTGCCGACAACAATGCCTGGTGTCTTCCTAAAACAAAGAAAAACAAAAATAAAGACAAGAGCCCACAACAAAACTAAAATAATGAACACCATTTGAACCACAAAGCACAAACTGTGCAGGTCTCCAAACGTCATTCTGCTTTTATGTTTTAATCAAGATGAACACTGCATTCATTCTACAGACGCGAAAATACTGCGCAGCGCCCACGCCTCCTACGAATGCACCCTTCCTGCGTGTCTGTCGTCTCCTTCATAAGTGATGCAGAAACATTAATTACGACTAAATGAACACTGTTTCTTGCAGATCTAATAAGACAAAGTCAAAGCCATTAAAATAGGACCTCTAATTTCCATTTCTAATTTCCTTTAACAACACGGTGTTCCAGTTAACAGGGGCTAAATCAAGTCAAGCATTTAAACTGAACTTGGATGTGTAAGAGTCACGCTGGAGAATTAAGAGAGGAAGGGAACAGGATCAACAGAGCTGGATGCCAGCCCCAAGCTTTCTGCCCTTTGGCTTTCTCATCTGCAACTTGGTGTCCCAAGCCTTCTTTCCCTATTGGTACAATGACGACCAGCCAGAGGACAGGTATGTGAACAGCACCAGGCAGTGCTCCGCACTGAACAGTCACTGTACACGACCACTAGGAATAGGTTGGTGTGGAGTAATCCTTCTGTACACGGTGTAAATATGTCACTATGATTGGTATAATAAACAAGCTGACTGGCCAATAGCTGGACAGGATAACAGCTGAACACTTTAGCGGGAAAGCCAAACTCAGAAGGATAGGATGAAGAAGGGCGGATCAGAAAGGACGCCAGCCATACGGAAAATGAGGTAACAAGCCATGAACAACATGGCAAAGCACAGGTAAGAAATGTGGGTTAATCTAAGTGTAAGAGCTAGTAACAAGCCTGAGCTATCGGTCGAGCATTTATAAATAGCACTAAGCCTCTGTGTCAGCTATCTGGGAGCAGGCGGCCAGGGCAGGAAAACCCTATCTACAATTACTACTTGGTTTGTTTATTTGTTTTTGGTTTTTCGAGACAGGGTTTCTCTGTGGTTTTGGAGCCATACAATTACTACTTGGGACACAAAGATTTTTTTCCTCCTCATCGCCAATAAATTCTTACAGGAATTCTGCAAGTGATCCCTGGCACACTGAATTTAT